AAAAAAATTATATCGACTCAAGGATATATAGGCGTCGTTGATAGGCTGATGGATGAATGGATAGATACCCACCCAGCTTATTTCGAAATTTGGTCGAAATCTCAAATTTGGCTACAAACTTGTCCATAGGGGTATTTTAATCTCCAGAACACGATTATCACACTTGTTTGCTGCAAAAACGTCTGCCAAAAGTTCTGTGGGCTCCATGTAAAGTCTTTAGTAAGTACCGCCGAAAGTGATTAGAAATTCCTCGCAAAGTCTTTGCACGGGTAACTACAGGCAAGCATTGATCAAGTAAGGTAGTTGGGAGCCTTTTTCAATCATTTTACAGCGAAGGCAAAAAAGAGAACCGGCCGGGAATCGATCCTACGACGTCTCGCACGTGAGCCCGGACTGCTCCCGCTGCACTACTTCCCTTCATAACTCCATTCGGAAAATCGTTTGGCAGATTTGGAAACCAGATTGAGATCAGCGTTCAAAATCGAATCCACCTGTGTAGGTCTCTTTACACATGGCCACTTCGACCAACCATCCGTTCCTGGTTAGCATCGATGGACCAGACCCTGACTGAAACCGCCCCATAGCGCCCTTTCATCAGTTGCGTACAATGACGTCATCGAACCGCAACGCCCTCCTGCCACCTCATTTGCCTTCAAAGACCTTGACAGACACTTTGCCATGACAGCAGCGATGTAATCGTTTTTGATCTTGCAAAATTCTACAATTTATCATTTGATATAATATGAGATAGTAGTTGATTATGCTTTCAGTGGCTATTCGGAGTCAGCCTGGTCTCTGTTTCGGCGATTGTTCTGGCCGTTTTTCTCCGATATAGAGGAACAATGCTGAATTGCTTCAAACTCCACAAAGAACGTGACTTACATTTCCATCAAGCCAGAGTTCGTGCTCTCAGCTCAAGTCCTTATCAATCTCGCAAACGTAGCACAGTAACTGTATGTTGATCCTTTCATATTTTTTTTGGTTTTACATTTTACTCCAGTACCGGTACTGCAGCTATAGTGACCTACTACGCTTCTCTTACGACATAAGTGATTACATTTTTACAAGATGTAACAGTTTTTCGGCGAAATGCTCTGGAGCGTTTGTCGTAAAAGTTGAAATCACTATCACTAAAAGGCACTAGCAACTACTTAGAATACATCATGGATACTTAGGATGCTGTGCGAAGTCTTGTGTCCACTGCTAGAACAGATTTTATTGCCTTAGTATAATTGCACTCGTCTGCAGGTCACCACTGGATTATCGACTCCGAGCTCTGTACCACACAGTACGACCTTGCAACGACCAAAACAACCTCCACCACCACCACCGTAAGCTCTTAACGTCTTGACCGTAGTGCTAACTTTAGGAGGAATCAGCCAACAAAGTCATTTTGCGTTGAACCAAGGGGCGGAATCGCTTGGACCATTGGGCCCCATTCAGGGTACTTCCTTTTCAAAAGTGGTGGTCCCAGTGGTTCCGACCAGGCGATCAGCGCAAGGCGTGCCTTCAACGAATTATATAATGCTACAAATTTGGCATTGCTTCAGCATAAAAGCTTCAATTGCCGTCGATCCTGGAACATCATACGCACGTCAGATAAATAATCGAGATGATATTTCATGGAAATTTGAGGAATTTGACTCGGGTAGGTTGCCATTGTAACATCAGTTTCTAATGGGATTCCCGAGCGGTGATGATTTGTTTCCAGACGAAGAGGATTCGAGCAATCAGAAAACAAACTTCTCATCATATCCAGGTCAACCGGGTGTACCAACATGTCCCAGTTATCCATCATTCGTGCCGATAAACAGGGTTACGGTGAGTTTTCATCTGTTGATAGCAGCATATGACATAATACATTGGATATTGAAGGGAACTCTGCTTGGTGTAAAGATAGGATAGGCCGAAGAGTCCGAGACGTGACGCTTTCAGGAAAGGCGCGTTTATGGCCGCCTCCACGGAAAGCACCGCCTCTAGGTGTCTGAATATTCCCCACTATATACAGTGCGCGTCAATTGTATATGCCACCCCCTGATTTTTTCAGTTTTCTGACTTATTTGGAAATTTCGTAAGACGGCATAACAACCATCGTTTTCGGCGTGTCGGAAAACTAAGAATATTTCTCCAGCTTCTCTCTACTCGCAACCTCGGCATTTCAATTGTAAGTGTGTTAGTAATTCTGTGCCTTACGAGGTTGTCAGGTGGAACTTTTTATTCAGTGACCTAACGTTTCGACGGAATCGTCGTCTTTAGAGGCCTGAGCATGTTTCAAATTTTAGATCTACGCTCTACCCCACCAAGCTCCTCGTCAACTCTAGCAGTTCCGACATCATGTCAGGAACCCCTCGAGGAGACCCGAGTAGCACAAAAAATGAACTCATATAATAATAATATAATGTAATAATATAAACATATAATAACATCAACACAATCCGAAATGGATGAGTGTTTTCGTTTAATGAATGAACAGTTACAGTACATTAAACGGACACGAGAAACCCCGAAAACGGTTGGTTGCCTTATTTAAACACGCAAGTCAAGGTATCCAATGGCATTGCTTGCGTAAAATAGTACCGTAAAAGCAGTTCGAAAAACATTATGATTCACGCTACATCGGCACATCCAATAGCCCTTAAACCTGCTTTGGTTGGTAACATGTTTAGAACGGCAACAGGGTTGTGCACAGGTGATGCTGAGCGTGAAGAATCGCGACAACTAGCTACAAAAATAGCTAGCTATACGGCACCGCAACATCGAAGACGACGACAGCATTCCAATCAGCGAGAGGTGCCACGTCGAAATAGCTTACCTTTGTGTGTCCCGCTCATATCTGATGAAACGAGTGCTGCATCCAACAGAGTATTGGAAGAGCACAGTTACAGGATGTTGTTCAATTGGTAAATAGTATACCTAACCAGAACATCAAACGACAACTGGTTCGAAACAGATTCTACAATAAGCACTGCATCTCAGAATGTTGCGTTATTTACCCGTAAGGGAAAATTGGCGATTGTGCGCAAATGAGGGTGATTTATGAAATTCAATGCGGGGCATGTAACCACACATATATTGGAAGGGTTCTAGCAATTCGTATTAAGGAACATATAGCAAGCATGAGACGTGGTGATCGGAGAACACCTCTTGGAAGGCATAAGCTTGAGGAACATGATGATGTAGATTTTGAAATCAAGTGCAACCTGTGGCTCATGAGACAGAAATTTTGGCGAGGAAAGCGTTGGAAGCATTCTGAATATACACCAAAAATCCTAGAATGAACAGCCGAGATGAGTGTCGCTCAATAACAAATGACGTTCTGCCGTTTATACCACACTGCGAGCTGTAGAATGATCGGGCGTTACATGCGTCTCCTGATATTTTTGGTAAGGAGGCAATCGAGTATTCATCACTTTTAAGTTACTAACGCTCTGTATGGTAGCGGTCTAACCCGCTCAAACGGTGGAACTACCAGTGAATTTATATTTTTCACGCTACTCGGGTCTACTCTAGGGGTTCCTGACACGATGTCGGAACTGCTAGAGTTGACGAGGTGTTCGGTAGGGTATATCGTAGATCTAAAACTTGAAACATGTTTACGCCTCTGAAGACGACGATTCCGTCGAAACGTTAGGCCACTGAATAAAAAGCTCCACCTGACAACCTCGTAAGGCACAGAAGTACTAACACACTAAGAATGGTGTTGTTTGGTTGTGGTTAGCGCGTTGATTCAAATTTTTTGAAGCAAATGGGCCGCGTCAATTGCTTATGCCATCCTAAAGTTTCTTCAGAATTTTTCATGCCTCTAACGCTATTCAGCTACAGTGTGCATATAGTATAAATGAAGAAATTCTACTCTCATGCAATGCACACAAATGGTGGAGCATTTATAATTGATCAGTTCAGAATATTAGAATATTATACTGGACGGTAGCAGCATGAAAACGCTTTATCAGAAAAAGAGCAGTGTGCTCATTTTTACGACCGCGCCTGATGCTTGTTATACATAGAACTCATCGAGGAGTGTATCAAGGCAGAACCGGGGAAATTGAAGTGCTTAATGAGCCCTTAAATTCTCATTTTCCTGCTTCGAAACCTTGGTCAACTTTATTTGTGGTCTCGGCTGACGCTTGAAGCGTTCACGCTCACAAAGTCTCTGTCTCGAGAGAACATGACTCATACCTACTCCCCGTCTGGTACCCATCACTGACCTCGATCGAAGTTTTCTTATCAGGGCGATGCAGTGATGGCCCATGCCACCACTTCGATGTCCCGTTCAAGTTACAACTGGCTCATGTCGTCAATTTCGCCCGTCGGTACGAAAAATTTTCCAGAAAGAATCCGACAAAGTTTGGCAATGGGTACTACGTGGATTGTGAGTGCAACTCATATTCTCTCTGAACAGAGTTTTGGTGAGCGTGAACGCTTCGAGTTTCGCGGGAGCCGAGACCACAAATAAAGTTGACCGCGGATTCGAAGCGGGAAAATGAGAGTTTAAGAGCTACTTGAACACTTAAACACTTAATTTTCTCAGTTTTGCCTTTATACACTCCTCGATGAGTTCTACAATAAGCAGTAGGAGCGATCGCAAGAGTGAGCACACAACACTTCCGCTGATAAAGCGTTTTCATGTTGCTGCCGTCCAGTATTAGGGCTAATATCCGAACTAATTAGTTATAAATGCTCCTATGTGCATTGCATAAGTCGCGGATTTCTTCACTTGTATTACATGCACACCGTAGCCGAATAGCGTTAGAGGCATGTGAAATTCCGAAGAAATTTTAGTATGGCATGAGCAACTGACGCGGCTCGTTTTCTACCAAAGAACAGAGCAATTTAAAAATCAACGCGTTAATCATAATCGAACAACACCATTCTTAGTTTTACGACACGCCGAAAACGATGGTTGCTCTGCCGAATTACGAAATTTCCAAATAAGTCAGAAAACTGAAAAAATCAGGGGGTGGCATATGCAATACGCGCACTGTATAACGCGTTAAGTCTGTCTGTCCGTCTTTTCTCGAAATTCGGTACTAATCGAACAACAACCTATAGAGTGCGGGTCATGTTTATGATGTGTACCGTACCTCGAGAAGCAAACACACATCAGCCAAGCGGAGTCCCGCCCACAGTGGGCGTGGCGTGCATCAAAACGAACAATACTGAGGACCATGGTTTCAAATTCAGTCACAAAACAGCCTTAAGGCTAGGGACAAAAGCGGGTATAGGTGTGCGTTGGTAAGCCAGATTGAAGTGAGGAGACCCATCCACGGTGGGCAGGGCATTCTCCAAAAAGCGGTGCTCAATGAAAATCTCCATAGCTCGGTTAGGAGGAAGCCTAAATAGCAGAAAAGTAATAAAAGTAGGGAAGCAATGAGGTATTCTCAGCATAAATGACCTGGGCGCAGGCCCCTCCCACAATGGGCGGGGCGTGTCCTGAAGTAGACAGCGTTCACTACAAGTCCTCACAAAACTGCTCCCGGAAGCCTTAGAGAGCGAGAAAACGTGGTTAGAGGGCAGAAGAGGAGGGGAAGCTGAATCTCAAAGTTGGGCATGGCTAACGCCAAAGTGGGCGAAGTTTGCAACCAGGCTTATAACTCGCTTCCTAAAAGTCCCCGGGGTCTGGGAAAAAAGAGGGCAAGGGTTGACGAGATCAACTGCTATCGCTGCGTGAGGCATGCACCATAGAGGGCGGGGTTTGCCACGAAGATACATACGGTACTCGCCGTAAAAAATGAAAAAATCACGCGAAAAATACGATTTCGCGTTTTTTTCGTTTTCGTTATAACTCGGTTTAAAATTGAGATTTTCAAAACCCAAATGCATTGAACTCAGCTTGTCGAGCTCTATAAAAGGCTGTCTTAAAGTTCTCTAGAGGCACTATCTTGGAGTGCGCCTTTCACTCAACTTTCATCTCAAAAAGTAGTTGCTTGCATGTGATGTGTATGTAATCCCGCTAATGCGAGCTGACTGCCACACAGAGAGATGGTTCTTAAAACTTGCCCCAGAATGCGCCACGTACTCAGTCTTATCCACTACGTTTTGATGTTAAATGAATGTTAATTTCCGAATTCCTGAATCTTTATTTCGTTTTAAAGCGCTAGTTGGCTGAAAGTATTCTCTCTGCGTTCAACATCCCATTCTCTATTTGAACTGGAAACTTTGGAACAGTTTTTTAGCAGGAATAGTAGGACTATTTTGCGACATGTCCCGTTTTAGAAGAGATGTTTTGTAGAAAGCTGTGAAGACAGCGACGAGTTCTCTTCACTAGCGTGTACTACGTCTGTAGGAATTATACGGAAAACTTGGTCGCAAGTGAGCGCTTCTTCCGTGATGTGGCCCCAAACATCAGCCCTCGTCATTCTCTTGTAAAATGATCAGATTTTTTTTTGCTTTTCATGACGGACAAAAACCGAGATGTGTACCAGTCGATTCCCCATAAAAATACTGTCGAACGGTGTACAACACTATTCACAACCAAAAATTTGTTTTTTTTTCACTGTTTTCGGTCTTCTACTCATTGCCGATCGGCTTTTCCAGCTCTTCACGGCCAAGTGCGATCCACGTGCGCAGTGCGTGAAACCGTTCCCACGCTAGAGCAACAGCCACAGCGACGTATTGATCGGGCTGCCCGCCCACTACGGGAGGAGGTCATCGGCCGTCACGTGAACTGTCACGCACTTGGCCGTGAAGGGCTGGGAAAACCGATCGGGAATGAGCAGAAGGCTGAAAATAGTGTGAATAGCGTCCAAGTTCGCCTTTCTTGAAACCTTGGCATGTCCAGATAATTGAAAGTATTTCTGTGCCAAACAGGTTTTTTA